TTAATGTTGATTTTACGTTAAAAGTACATACTAAGAATTTTGCAGATAATATTATTTTGAAAGGAATGTCATCGGTGTTTTTTAAATTATGAACTGTTAAAAGTTACAGTTAGTTTAAAACAAAAACAAAACAAAACAGTTTTCGTATCTATATGACAATTCCCACAAAATAATGTTTTCTATAAATATAATACTAGGTAATTTTACTCTAAAATCAAAATTAAACTAGTTGTTCTTATTCTGCCGTAAGTATTGTTAATGCGTGTTACCCGGTGGTTGGACTGAGACAGATGCGGGTTGATAACGTTCTCTTAATCAGAATTGAATAAAAAATTAATAAGCAAATAATAAACATAAATAATATCCAAAATTGATTCGAAATATGTTGAACGTAAAACTGAGGCCGAAATGAGTGCCGTGAAAATTATGAGTTTGGAATTTTCATAAAAATCAAACTTTCTCAGAGGCAACGTCAAAAACAACAACTTTTTTTAAAAAATAAAAAATGTAAGGATTTGATGGAAACTAAACTAGGTTTTTTTTCAAATTAAAATAGTGAAATGTTTAGAATGCCTATGGAACATATAATAATTAACTCGGCACAAACACTCGATTGTTTTATCGTGTTAATTAAAATGAAAAAAAAAAATTAAAACATAAATTATAAATTAGTCAAAACTTTTATCAAACTATAAAAATTAATATAATAATAAATGAGTACCGGTGTCTTAAATAATGTGCCATGGATCAATATTTTATCATATAAACACGTACACAGTACAATTTTTTTTTATAGTAAAAGCCGCAATTTATTTATAACATGTTTAATTAGCTTTTAATTTCTTATTAACATCAATCAAGGTCATAGTTTTGTGTAAGTTATCTAATAAGAAAATAGGATTTACGTTTGGAAATATTCATAAAAACAATCAGCATATTACTTACTATTTAGGAGAATATTATAAGGAGAAACAAACAGATATATTTCGTACTGAAAAGTTGGGAAAATAGAGGGGAATGTTATTTAATATATTATACATGCAAAGATTAATTATTGCTAATGAAAAACGATTTTGAGTGGAGTTCGGTTATAAATGTGTTGAAAGACGGTAATATTTTTGTTTTTAAAGTAAAATATTTCGTACATTTTCCCGTTTTTCCCATTTATTATAAAAACTTCTGGGAAAATAAAAGAAAAAGAACCATTCGTACAGTTTATTTAGTATATTTTCCATAGTATGATGCTACCTACATAAATTATTATCAAAAATATACCGATCTGTTTAAATGAAAACAGTGTGAAATAATTTATATCATAGGTACATTTAACTTGTTAAAATATTGTTGTTGAATAGTATAGTCAGTTTTTTTGTTTTTTTTAAATACGTCTATAATATCATATTGTCTATAAATGAAAGTGTTCATCTATCTAAGTTTCTAAATGAGGTTAAAGTTTAAATGTCCATTTCCCAGATATCAGTCGTATTGGGTACACATCGCTGATAATATTAAGATGTAAAAACGATCACTCATGCAACATAAATTGTGTATAAATGTACCTTTATAAAATAAATTCGTAAATATAGGTAACTATAACTAGTTGAGTCACATTGTTATTAATATTTTATATCTACATAATACCTAATACCAAAAAAAAAAAAAACATAACTTTAAGAAAATTGATTTAAAACAATATTAGTGCCTACCAATTAGTTTTTTTCTTACGAAAAAATCACGAATTTGTATAGAAAATAGATTGATTATTCTTTTTTCGAGAAACGAATGTATCTTCGAATTAAAACTTTAGCTTGTTCAGTAGCATATAACGTTATAGACGGATTAGAAAAATGAAATTCGTCAAATAGTGTAAATATTAATCGCATTGATCGCGTTTAAAATAATATCTATTGCTTGTCTGTAATATAGTCGCATGAATAAACGATTTTGTTGTCCACATATTCAACTACATAGCCCGTTCTAAAAATTAATTACGCTACAGAAAATGAAAAAAAAAATGTCTGATTTGTAAAAATATATATTATAAAATTAATTTTTTTTAATATGCTAATATTTAAACAACGATCTTTTTTTTTTTAATTCCGGGGTTATTACTATCGGTTCAATAATGTGTTAATTAGAATACGGCGGTTGGTACGGGTACAAAGTACATTAAATACGATTTCGTTTCTTTCTATACATAATTGTATACCTACAATGTACAGTTCATAAAAACTATACGGCTTTTAATTTTAATATAATTTAAATGTTTTTATATATTATAAAAGTACGTATGCACCTAGAGATTGAAAAAAAAAATAATAATAATGATAATCGTTTTAATTAATAATCCCTTCCGATACGAAACTAAACGAACGGAACATCCGCTGAAAAAAAAAAACTGATATAAACGTATAATAATGATGCATAACAGTCGAGATAAAATTATCCACCTTCCCTCCCCCATCCCCTTCCACCAGTCATAAAACCGAATATAAGATAACGTACCGTATGCCGTGAATCTAGACACAACATTAATGAAATCTAGTTAGTCCGTTTGTTTATTTTGTTGTGCTCGCTTCTGTCTCCGTGCACTTAAAAGGACCGTCCGTCTGGCCGATTCACGTAATAATCCCAACTGTGCGGTACTGGAACAGTACCCCTTTTGGGATTATTCCACGTCTATCGGTATTACGTTTTCATAAAAACTGCAATAGATTAATATACATAAAATATTACTTGCGTTTCTCCAAGACTTTATTGACTCGACAAGAATATTTTTTCAAGCGTCTCAACACACTACAACCGCCGTATCAACAAAAGGTACCTATCATATATAATTAATAATATCTAAATAATACATTTTACAAGCTTTACAACATTCACTTTTGTAGCTCTTTAATTATTTAATTAATTAATAAATTAATAAACTACCTACGGGGGGGGGGGCGTGCTTTTCGCTCGGTATTTGACTAAGTATGATTAAACCTGTCCGCCCAAAATAAATATTCTTTTACAATGCGGTTCAACGGTAAATGTTTTGGTTACCAATTGTTAATTAAAGGTCATCGCGAGAAATAACAAACATTTACAGTTACATTAAAAAATAACGAAATACGAAGTTTTCTTGGTTTTAACATAATATTCCTTGGACGTTAATAGAAAATGCCTGGAATTACTAATTTCTACCTCTAATTGTTATTACGAAAATTATTCTATGTGTAATACTAAAAGGCTTTATTCAAATAATTGAACAAATATTGCAATATATTAAAGAAATAACCATGAATTAGTAAGCAAATATTAAACATACAATTTTAACGAAAAGTGCCCCACACGTACCTAAAAGTACTTATATGCACTTAACAATATTTTAGATTTTATAAGTTTTTTTGTGTAATTTTTATTTGTTTTAAATAATAATTATTTTCTTATTTCCATTATATGCATTCATATCGACATTTTTTTAATTTTATGTACACAATTTTAGTTATGAGAATTTAGTTATGAATATGGAAATACTAAAATACTTAACTAAACATTCATATGGAGTACCTATTTAATATTTTTAAGCTTGAACACTACTTAAATGAATGCATTTGCAGACAATAAACAAGTAGGCCTTGGTAATTGTTTATTTCACGTAGGCATTTTGTATTTATATACTTCTGTATGAACATTCATCATAACAATTGAGAAGCCATTATTACCAAATAAAAAGTTGTTTTCTTGAAGGTTTTTAAAATTTGTTTGTCATAAAACTTCTTAACTTATAGTTTTCATTAAAAAATTAAATATTTTCGGAATACGAAAAAAAAAAAAAAAAAATAGAAGATTTGAGTGGAAGCTACAAATTATGTTTGTTCCAAACTAAAATATATAGAATACCTACAGATATATTTATTAGTAATAAAAGTATTGTTTTATTAACATTAAGTAAATAATAAAGATTATTATATGTAAGACATAGCCACATAGGTATATTTGAATACATATTCAGTATTCATTTAGTGAACAATTTTAAACTAGTCTAAACATTTGTTTAACATTAATAATATATGAGAGTACCAGTGTTGTAAATATTGAGCAGTAATATTTAAGGAGGATCGATATATTATCATAAAAACACAACCATAGAAATTTTTTTTCTAGTAATAACAGCAATTTGTTTACTATTGTTTATTATATGACAACTTTTAATTTTCTATATCTGTATAAGTAAAGTTCGTCATAATCTTAAGGTAGATCTTTAGGTAGATACCTAATAGGAAATCAGAATTATTAATTTGAAAAATATTAATAAAAACCATCACTTTATTAATAATTTATTAATTGTATTTTATATTATATTTAAATATATATTAATTAATTAATTTTAAATAATATTTGTGTAGTAAATATCATAAGTAAATTTATCTTCTTAAAATATTGTTGTTGAATGATAAAGTTTTTCAAAAAAAAAAAAATTACAATTTCTTTTTGGATAGCTTTAATTTTATAAAATTTTGATTTTTGAAATTTTTAAGTATAATTAAATTCGATATTTTGTAATACTTAGATTTTTCACAACATTTAAGATTAAGTTCCTATCCTAACCTAAACAAGATAATCCACTTTTAGGTTTAGGTCGGGGGAGAGAAGTGGAGTATCGATTTTTTTAGTTTTATTTACTACCATAACCCTTAAAAATGGAATATTGTATAAACGGATTGTCGGAAATCAAAAATGTAATCACCTACACTTATATAAAGTAATACTCCGTTTATAAAGTTTTAAAGTTATTAAAGTTTCTATGACCAATTTGTATTATAAAGAGTACAAACATAATTTATTGAATTTTATAAACAATAAATCGTGTATAAATATATATGAAATGAATAAGTAAATATGTAATGCATAACAACACATGATCAATATTTTGGTTTCAGGATTTTAACAAAAAATTTGAGTTTTTGACGGTTCACTAAAGAATTAATTTCCAGAAAAATCAGAATACATGCAGGATGGCTGTATGCTATATCGAATACTATGAATTGAGACAGAAATCCTACAGGTCTTTATTATATTTAAAATAGTATAAATTTATGCTTTTTTTATGAATTAAAATTTAGTCTATAATATTGAAATGATATAACTATTATAACTTTTATTGTTTATTTTGTTTACCAGAATGGATGCTAGAATAGCTGACAGTATAATATTAACATAAGCAACAGAATTTATATGGAAACAGAAAGGGACTTTGACAATATTCACAGGTCATGTGTCTGATATACAAGTTTGAACATCATACGTGATGAATTTAATAGTTTTTTTTATAACTAAACGCACTGATATTGAGTGAACGATTTAGAATAATAGAATTTCATATCAAAACTATCAAATACATTGGAATTCATATACATCTACTCAAAAGCATAGAGGAAATATTATAGTTTTAACTTATGGAGCTATTCTATAAATTAAAAGTTTTAACAATTAAAATTAATTATTATAAATTATATGTTATACTGAGAAAAGAGAAATCAGTATTCAATAAAAAAAACCATAAGCATAGAAAACAATTATAAAAATGTATTTAATATTGTACCACTGTGGAGTTGTATCCATACATTACAGACCAATGAAGTGGCTGTGTTAATGTTGAGATTCATATGATAAAAATGTTTTATGGATGCTGATTATAGTGTTAATACCTATAGACATATTCACTTTAATATTCAATTTATTTAAGTCAGAGGACATTCTAAATGCTTGGACTACTTCTCAAGCTTTCTCATCTATGGTCTAAATCGCACAAGTTATGGGCTTGCTCAACTGGTGCTGAAGTTTGTGTACATTCTAATTACAAGAGTTTTGCTGAAAAACAATGCATTTTTTAAAAAGTAAATAAAATTATGAAACTTCTAAAACACATTTATGTCATTGATTCAATGTTCTAATGTGATGTGTTTTAGGACAATGGTTGCAATTAATGACAATAGAGAAAATTTAATGATTTGGTCGGACAAATGTTGTTTTTTTTTGAGTTATTCAATTGATGGAGTTATAGATCATTTGACAATCACATCTTTAACAGTAAGTATTGAAATTATTATCTTTCAATCAAATTTACAAATGCTTTGGCCCTTGCTTCAGTATACAAAGTGAAAAGAGTATACAGAATTTCTAGAACCTTGCTAAGATTCCTCTATTTTGAAATTATAATTTATAATTCCAAGTAAACTGGGGATTATATATGTTTTACTATAATTTTTTTTTTATTCTGTGTAGAAAATTTCTCCTAAAAATCTTTCCCTGGTAAAAACATAGCAAAAGACCTATCTTGATGCAATTTGTTTTATTTTTTTGGTAAATAAAGAAGCTTATTTTTTGAAATTCTTATCAATATCAGATTAATAACCAATTACTGGTTATTAAGATTAATCAAGTGTGAAACATACTAAAAGGTTAGTGTCTAGGTTGTCATTAGCCACCGATTTTCTTTATTTTTTTTCAGGATATTGTTTTATTATTTTAAATCTTTTATCTTTTAAATATTAATACTAAAAATTTGAAATTTGATTGTTTGTTTGTGTTTCTTTTTATACAGTCCAATATTTGTAGCAATGAAATTTTTAAAAAAAATAATCAATTTTGTTTTTAAATTCAAAGACAATTGTTGTGTATACATGTTGACTCCTACTGCTTGCAAAGAAAATACCCGTTGCGAAAGTTGGAATCAAATATTTAGGCTTCTTACCTAACCTAATCAAATCTAACCCTTTTTTAGTCATTTTATTTTTTAATTATTTTATTTTTTAATTTAAACTTAATACATAAATATAGACAAAAATATTATTATTTCTGTGAGCTTAAACTGAAGAGTATAAGTAAACTTTTATCGCCGTTTATTTTATGTAGTGATAAATAACAGTTATAGCATAGTGTCAAAAATAACATAAACTCACATTTTAAACAAAACTTTGTTTTCTAAATAGGTACATTATTTTATGAAAAAATAACTTGTACTAAAAATTTTTTTAGACATACGAGTATAATTAGAATTAATTAATATGTTACTACCAATTGAAATAAATTCTTTGATTTGAATTATTTAAGATGATTAAAATGTGGAATTTATAATTAAAAATTGAGTCTGGCCAATATGCAATAAATTAAAATTTGATTGTAAAAAAATGATTTAAAGTATTATGTTGGCACAAATATGATTTTCTTTCAGGGAAACATGGTAAAGTTAGTGAATTTAAAAAAGTAGCAACTCTGAATTTAAATTAATGTAAACGTCAAGAAATGAATTACTGAAAATTAACAATTCATCATTATTAAAGTTTTGTAACATTTACATTTTGTTTCAACATATATTTATAAAATGGCTATCTTAGATTGGTAAAAAAAAAATTATTAAAACAAATTATATGCTATTAGTTTATTAGATATAAAGAAAATATAAATTTTAGGAATTATATTGTAAAAATTCAGTAATTATTACAAGAAATAAAAAATTAAAAAATATGAATACTACCCAAAATATTTCTAGAATTTCTGATATTTTTATTATTACTTGTTAATAATATTTTATGTATACTAAATAACCTACCTATAAATTAGAAATTATACTACCATATATTCCTGGTTGTTGGGTAGATGAGAGGGCTGAAGGAAATCTAAGACTATTGTTCTAAATATTTTATAATTTTTTTAATATTTTATTTGCGTTATATTTGAATGTGATATTTAACCAATCCACCCCCTCCCCACCATCTATTAAAAAAAAAAATCCTTTTGCAGTTTTTTGTCGGTTATTGTATCACTGTGCCAATATTATACATATCAACTAGAAATTTACTATTTTGACTCAGTTCATTTTAAGTAGGTTAAAGTTGACTCTCTTTTTTTTTATTATTATCATTTAATATTTTAGCTGTTTTTAGTTGCTATGCTTGCTATCATACTTTGTATAATTTTGTATGGGCACGTATTGTTTGCATTTCAAATTGCACAAAAACATTTTGTAATTGGGTATATATTTTCATAGTATTTTTCTGTTATGAATATAATTACATCTGATTTATGAATTGACAAAAAAACCTTATTAATTTCGAAATTATGTTTATGTATGTATTTAACCACAAGCATTTATATTTGGTAGAAGTTAATAGGTATCCCTCTAAAGAAAACTAGAGGTCTATTTATGATGCTTAATTTTTCTAAAAAAAAATGTATTAAGGTAAAATTTTTTAAATAAAAATTATATAATAGTATAAAAAATAAAATATTATTTTTATATGTTTTTTCAGAATAGAACTTCAGACAAATATTCAAGAAACTCAGTCAGTGATTCGATTTGATTATTGTTATTTTTAAAAAATTGTGAAATATTTTAGTCTCTTCCTATCATATATCCTTTTCTCTTTTTTTGGGGAGAAATCCAGATAATTTAAATAACTTCACCATCCATCAGATACTTGTTGAGCAAATTCATAATTAGTGCGATCTAGACCCTGAATGAGAAATGCCTGATAAGGAGACTAAGCATTTAGATAATCCCATGATTTATATAAATTGAAGAAGGAAGTCCATATTCCTATAGATACTAAAGCTATAATCATCATTGATAATATTCTTATTTCTTAGACATTTTAATATTGACATAGCCATTGCTTTTGTCTGTAAGGTATGCTTACCACTCTACAGTGGTACAATGTTAAATACAGTGTGTCCACGGAAACAGTGAACACTTTATAACCTTGTATCTTACGCATTTTTATGAATTTGATTTTTGAAAAACTCCTGGGTCATTACTTTTTATGGGGTATACAATTTTTTTTAACTTTTGTATTCTACGTATGCGCAACGCAATTTCTTTTATTTTAAATGAGAACTCTTATATTTTAAATCATATTTGGATTGGTCGAATTTTTTTAAGCCAGATAGCACTGGGTCAACTAGTATTCAAATTGTATACTGACCAAATGAGAGCTGTTTGAAATTAAAGTAGGAAAACAATTTTTTTTGTAGTTTTCGTAGTTAGCAGTTTTTGTAGTGAAACAAATCTTTTTTCTACTATAATTTCAAATAGCTCTCATTCGGTCGTTTTCAATTTATAATACGAATTGGTATATCAATCTGGCTTAAAAAAATTTGACCGACTTGAATATGGTTTAAAAAAATAGGGGTCCCATTTAAAAAAAAAGAAGTTGCGTTGCGCATGCGTATAAAACACGAGTTAAAAGAAATTATATGCCCGGAAAAATAATGGCCTGGCAGTATCATTTCGTTTTCCGAAAACCAAATTCAAAAATATGTGTAAAGTACAAAGTTTCAAAGTGTCCTCTGTTCCGTGAACACACTGTATGTATACACAGATATTGTGTATGCTCATGGTTTCCATAATCCATGTTCCTTTTTCTTGCCTCAGCACGACTTATAAATTTTAATAGCGAAGTTTATTGATAACATTTTCATATTTATAGCAAAGCTATATAATTTATAATCTTAATACTTCTTCTATGGTTTTGAATTTCCAAGGTATTTAATAGAATTGGTCTTAGAATCTATCATTTTAAACGATTGACTCAATGTCGATGTCATTTGGAAAAAAAACACTAATGAAATCAAGATGTATAATTTTTTGTGTTAGTATATTTGACAATTGACCTGTAAATATTGAAAAAGTCCTAGCCCGTTTCCACTTTAGATTTTGTTCTTGCACTCAATTCCTCTTTGGTTATCTATAATATATTATATTACTTCAAATTATATAATTTACATTTACATTTATAATTTAATATTAGTTTATTTTTTATCATATCAAATTTTGTATTTAACAAAGGCTAAGTTTTTATTGTTTCTGTCAGTCAGTTTAGATTTAGTATTTCATATTATCATTTACGGTGTCATTATATATGTTATATAATCAGAATCGAATATATAGTATTTATTTAACAGACTAGTACACACACACTCTCTCACATCTTGCATGTATTCATATTATATAATATGTATAGTAAATAAATACATAAATTAAAAATATATGGATTGCAAAAACAAAAAATTAATAAATTAATGAATGCGTCGCCTGGAGGACCATGACAAGTATATTATACGAGAGGTTTCGAATTAAAAATTCATCATCGGGTATATCACAGTCAAAATGTATAACGGGACTGGAAACGATGAAACGTTCACTGTGATATACCCGATGATGAATTTTTAATACGAAACCAGTCGTATAATAAACTTATCATAATACTCCAGGCGACGCATTTATTCATTATTTTATTTTTTTGATTTGTATATTTCTTTACGAGTATTAACCGTTTTAATAATTTTGTATTTACTTTATTATTTTATTGCGTAGCATATACTGATAAACCTGTATATTTAGTAATTTCAGTAATGTTTCACTTTAAAGTAGGAGACATAATGCTATATTATTTATACGTGTAACCAATGATAAACCATTGCTATGTCAAAGAAAGATACAATTCTGAATTAAGTTCCTTTATACATATTTTAAACTGCTGTAATATTTACGATTTTCAAAACATTTTATGGAAATTCTTAAAAAAAAAAAAAAAAAATACTACATTAAACTCAACTTTTTTTTTTGCCACATAGTACGACTTTATGTATTAAAACTCCTGATAAATTTTCAAACATTTGTGTTATGGTTAGCAATTTATTGACAGAATACCAGAGTACCAACCAAAAAAAAATTACTGAACAAACTCATAAAATTAAAATGTCTAGAAATAGCTTAAAAATAGTTCAAATATTTTGCAAATGTCTATAAAATGGAAATTAAAATTTTCCGTTTAAATTTCAAGTCCCTACGAATACTTTTTATAGAATAAAAACCCAAAACTAAAATTAAAAATAATAAAAGTACTATTTTCGTAAATTTTTCCGGTCTTTTTACAGTTTTTTCGGTTTGCTTAATTTTAAAATTAACTACACGGAAAATCAAAAAACTTCTTTTTTACTCACCAACCACATTAAAAATGAAAATTATCTCTTGTAGTTTTATGTACACAGTAATAAATAAAAAGAATATTACCAAGCATTGCCAACGTTTTAATATACACATGACAAATAATGAGATTAGATTAGAACACTAAGGAAACAGAACCGTCTTTCATAACTCAAGAAATAAACGTGTGACATTATCAAGTTGTTTTACGAACATTTTTTTTCAATCTGGTTATAGATTATAGGTAAATAAAAATCAATCAGTCGATCGAGTGTCACTTTTTTATTGTTTTTTGATTATAACACGTCAATACGATAAATCTGAATAATATAGAAAAAGTCGGCTTGTTCCATTTTACACGAACATAATATTATGTCTTTTGAATTGTTACATTTTTCATAGACAGTTTAAGATAAGATAAAGCCGAGTAGCAACATAGTTTATGGGTGAAGCCAATGTTGTAGATAAAAAGTTGAGAAGGAATTAAAGGGGAAATTTAGTGTACATCTAAAAGAAAAGATATTTCATTGCTAAAGAAAAACCGATTTTAAGCGGTGTTCAATTGATAGGGATGCTTTATCAACAATATTTTATTTATACCATACTGTTGTATAGTAATTACGTGTACAATGTATTTTTCTTGAATAATATTATCGTACCTGTTTTCCCATTTTTCCTAAGGTTTTCCGGTTTTCACAGTTATTTCCAGGCTTTTCTCATTTGTTTTGAAAACTCTTGGAGAAAATCATAAAATTATCTCCTTAAAGTACTTCCTCAGTCAGATTTCCTTTTAGAAAAAGTGGTATCATTGTAAGACAGAGAAAAATTGCTGGTGGGAAAGTTGTCCACAGAAAAAATACCGATTCTAGTATAATTTTAGACTCTAAGCGGAAAGGAGAAGCTTATGAACAATTTTTAACACAAATATAATAATTTTAAAATTAAATTGTTGAAATTAAATATTATACAAATTTAACAAATCACAAAATTACGAAATGTCGAAATATCCATACGCCGAAATATATGTTCGCCAAATTTTTGTTCGCCGATGTATCAGTTCGCCCTTCCGCCAAAATGATCGGATACTATATGCAATAGGCAGATCCGAGTTCAAATCCCATAAATATTCAGAAAATGTTTGTACTTAGTTTTGTTTAACATTATTTAAATGAAAGACAATTAATTACCTACTACAGAACATTACGATATAATTATTCCAGAAATATCTTTTGAAGAAAACTGAAATATTGCTGGAACATTATACATTAAGTTTCAAATGTTTCTAGATATCTTCAATAAATGTAATTTACTGTCCGGGATCAGGGATCAAGACTTATCCGGTCATAAACGGATCCAACAACAGTCTTTATAACCTCATAGCCTTCGTCATGATGTCAGGTCAATACCCTTAATACTAATACAATAACTTACTGGACCTGTCGAGTGTTTATTTTTATTTATTTATTTTTCATTTTATTTGTTTTAGTAAAAAAAAACAATGATTCTCGGATTATAAAATATGATACCTCTACTATTATTATATATTTTTTTAACAGAAACAAATTACCACGACGACTTGTTTTCGAAAGTGTTTGCTTTATATTAAAATACAATTAATCAAATGTTTACCCGACTGCACTACGTCTTTACTGCCACCGTTAAACTTTTCAATAAGTTCTATAGAAAACCCAATCAATCGCGAACGACACTAACAGACGCCTACTTTATTTGTATTAGTCGATTCTTTTTTATGTAATTCGGAAAACATAAACACATCTTTACAAGAAATTTGTTGTTGTTATGAAGGGAGAATTGTATTAAATATTATTATAATTGTTGTAGTTTTAACTAATGATGCAAACGGATAAAATACCTAAACAAACTGTTGTGATAAACGATGTTGGTACCAAAATTAGTGTATTGTAAAAACAAAGATTCTAGTACCTATTAAAAATGAAGTTTATGTTGGAAAAAATAATGTAACTGTTAGGAAGTCTAAAAGAGAAATTATTAAACCAAAAAGATATTTTCAATAGTTTAGATTATTATTGTTGTAATTAATGTCCTTAATGTATTGAATTCTTATTTAATTTTTGTTTAATACTAATGTCAGATATAAATAAAAGTAATAGATGGTTTTATTTTTTTTTTTTTCATTTTAAAAAAGAGTTATATGAATAAATATTAAAGCTGTAAGAGAATTTGTAAACAAAAAAAAGGGAAGTGTAATATATATTAATTTATACCAGATGATTCATTAATCATGTTCATCCCATTTTTTTAGTTGAATTTTGTATACATTCAAATTCTGATTTTTGGAATTTTTAAGTAAAGTTAAAGCTGATATTTTCAAATACTTAAATTTTTCAAAACGTTTAAGAAGCATCCTGGGACGGTATCAAATTTGGTTTTTCAAATGATAAATTCTATAAATAGACGGAGTATTACTTTAAATAAACTTTTGTGTCAACATTTTATATATTCGTCAACCCGTCAACTCCCAATGCCAGACGGTGTGGAAGAACAGTATTTTGAACATGTTAGTACTGAGATAAGTGAAGGTAATGAAGATGAAACTATGATTAAAGTATCAACACAAAGAAAAAGGTTTAACCGAAGAATAAACAATTAATTTATAACTCATAGTTAAAGGTTATGGGTAGCGGTTAGACAAAAAATAATCGTATCATTTAATACCTAATTTTTTTTTTTCTATGTCAACGGTTTAATGTTGATGATGACGAAAGCAAAAATAAAATGATTCAATTAGTTTCAGCAAATTTATGTAAGGAAATAATAGAAGGTGGTCAGCTTCTTTCTCCATTAGTCGACATTATTTTTGGTCAAGATAAAGTCTTAACATTTGTTAATAGTGTAACCAATATTTTTGGCCAATTATATCAAGTGTACCAAATGTTGATACGCCTGATAAAGGTACTGTATACTTCTTAAAATTATAACCCAATGCGACAAAAACAGAATGTATATTGCAATAATTATGCGTAAAACTTTGAATTGTTTGTTCACATTCAACGCGTACAGAAAAAGTTGTATATTATTAAAAACTAAATAAAAACCAGCCATAAAATTAGTTTATTGAAAGAACCGTTAATAATGGTTTGTCAATTTCATTAAATGGCATTGGTACAGCTCACTATGATCCAAGGCCTGCTGGTTATAATTCTTTCAAGCTATAAAAGCCACGCGTAGGTTTTTCTACTTCTTTCTAAAACTTTTCTATAATCTGTTCCATTTCTATAATTCTCTTTTGTATAATCTTTTTAAAATACTCATAATATGTTTCATCTATTGTATCCCGCTATAACTTCCACCCTCGCGTACAGTAGAATGCCGGTTATCAGGACTAATAATGTCAATAATGATAATCCATTGTTAACGGAAATATCAGTATAATTTAACGTAAAACACATTAAAAATTATACGTATTTATGTCTGTAAGAATATTATTTGTTCTTTATTATATAATCAATACGACGGTAGAAAACTAATTACTAATAATAATATCTGAAAATTTAAAAAACGAAATATGACAAAATACGATTACGAGGAATGACGAAACATGATAAAATTAAAATTAAAAAATTTTTTTTTTTTTTTTTGCTCGTCTAGATAATAAATTGGACGTCAGATTGATTGACATTCAGATAATCGGAAGTTCTACTGTATATAATAATATATACTATGAATTTCCTTTGACATTAAAATATAAATGATTTCTATTTATCAGTTATTATTAAATACCCACTGTCAACAATTATATTGAGTTATTTCTCAGCTTTATGGTTTGATGACAAACTTTATAATATATTATATATTAGCACGAGAACTTGGTTTTTAAACAGAGTAAGAAAAACTTATTCGGCAAATACCCGCGAAAAGACGAAACTTATTAAACTTCAACGCTCGAATTTATTTCAAACTTATTCCTATTAAACTATGTCAGTTCATCGGAATTTCTTCTATTTTATCGTCAAATTAATACCAGAACAATGAATAAACCAAAAACGATGTTTTTGAATTTTTATTTTATTATTGCCTTATCAGTTTAATAAAAATGCATATTATTTAACTTTAAAACATTTTTTCGTTGCTTAAAATTGCATTTATTTGATACGTTTCTTTAATCCTATGCCAACGATATGTAGTTTTAAAAGTCGACGCGTTTGGCAATCCTAAATGCATATTAGACGTGAATGTGTTACTATACTTAAACTAGCTGATCCTGCACAGCATTGTCTACGTGCACAATTTTAAACAAAACACTCTAAAAAAAAAAATATCTGTTATTGATAAACGATTGCTCGCGTCATAATCATTCATCATAACTGAGGCGGTTAATTCTTGTTTATAATAGCTAGAGTAATAGTTATGTGTTAAAATATTATTATAGATTAGTATGGTCTCACAATATAAACATTAGGTTCATAACAACCCATCACATGAACTTACTCAACCAAACTTGTTTCATATTCATATCAATTTGAGAAGCTAGGGTACATGCATACACAATCATTAATGAATTACAGTCGTATGGTTGTAGATAATTCAAGGCTATACGGGTCAAATATTGTAATTTTTTAGTTTAATTGCAGTCGGTTAAAAAAAAAAGAAAAAAAAAGAACTAAAATAAGTACAATATTCGACTCGTACAGCCTCGAATTATCCACAAACTGCACTTAGGTCAATAATAATGTTACAAAAAAAATAAAATAATTAGTTTAACTTTTTTACTTACAATTTAATCATTGGCGTGCTTAAAAATTAGTGTACAGAATGACCAATCCTATAGTGAGGCACTCATTATCTAAGAAAGTATGAACTTTTTTCGGAAATAGTTTTACAGAACATAAGAAGAAATAAGAAGCTCTACAATTTGTCTACAATTGTATGTTATTTTTTGGTCACCCTTTTTTTTTTGGTGGTAAAACCACTATCTAATTTTGATTTTCAAATGGCAACCTATGTTAAAAATTCCATAAATAGATTGAGTATTATTTAAAATAAATTTCGGTGATAAAATATTTGATTTCCGTTAATCAATTGACGAGATATTCTACTATTAAGTTTGGCTCGGCAGAAAGTAGTAAACGCCGCACGCTGTGCCGCAACACAAATAATGCTTCCTACGTTCTCCTACTTTAGCTTAAAACTTTTCATATTTCTGCTTGTTGCACAGAATACTCTCGACTGTAGTGTAGACTGAAGATAATCTGAGCGCTACAAGAAATTGCAGCCATTAGTCGATCATACCGTTGGTCTTTGCTATGGCGTAGCGACCCTCTATTGTTTTTTTTTCACATGTTTAACCTAATAAATGTTTACATATTATTGTATACTCAGTTAATTCTACTGTAAAAATTATGATATTTTTTGACATAATATTAGGAAATGCGCGATAATAAATAAAGTATATTATCGTTTATCTTTTTTTATGAGCACGTTATCATTAATAAATTAGTTGAACAAAACACTTCTAAAACTCTTCCGAAGACCGAAAATAGATTATTATAATTATTATCATTTACCACGGTTCTTCAACAAACCGTGATTATGGTTTAGTGGTTGTGGTTGTGGTTTATGACTATTCTAATAATTAACGACTGCGGATTACAATATTTAATCACATTCAAATTATATTTGATACATTCGTGTGTTTATATTCATAAATGTATTTATTTTCTGGGAAACAATAATACAGCCGGAAGACGTTTTGTTAAATAGGTGTAGGTTTCGGGTTCAACATATATTGTGGCAATATTTGACGAATATTTGAATAATATATAAAATGAATATCAAATGTTTCATAGATATTGAATTCGGAATCTTAATATTTATTAAATATTTACTTGCTGTGTGGGTCACGTTATTTTATCATATTCTTATTACTTGTTCTGAGTGCACGCCGAGGGGCTTGCGGTTTTCTCGCGGATAGCCGATTTGAAACAAGCGCGGAGTATTATATATGCACGACAATCCTGTATCGTAATAATACCGTCGTCGTCGCACCTATATTATATTTGCGAAACAATAATAACAGTAATATTCTAACCACCGTGTTTACGCAAACATACAAACTTTTCGTATGCCATGACAAAAACCGCAATAACCATGACGTATGTAACTACCTACCTACAGCGCACAAACACGTGCACGCGAATTGTGTTGTTATATTATAAGTGTGTATAATAGGCACCCTGCGAGTAGAACAACAAAATTATTATTATATAATGTTTGTGTAACGTAAACAAAGATCTTGGGGAAATGTTATGTTTCGCTCGTATACATTTTTATTTGCGACGCAACAGTATACAATTTATCGGGTGGTAAAGTAATTTTATGTAAATAGAGAGGCATATCGAGCATTAGGTATACGTATAAAGACATTGAATCGGCTCGGTAATAAATTTACCACGCACATTTTACGAATGCCTTTTTCGCCGTTATTAAAATCTAGTGACCACTAATTTTAAATGATTTTACTAGCTTAATAAATCTTATCAAGGTACTTTTCAGTTTATCAATACTGTATACTCATAAATACCGTGTGTCACAAACTAGAACACACCAACTGCCGAACAGTTTTTGTTCGTTTCCGCAAATCAGCTATAGTAACTGGTCTGCTAGTAGCCGCACATTGGGGAAAAATTGGGCTAGAAGTATCCGCAGACGTCAGTCGCAAACCTGGTGTGTTCTAGTTTGAAACAGAGTATAAATATATTAAGTGAATTTAATGAAAATTACTTTTACACAAATCTTTAAGTTGTATAACCCAACACTAAATTTTTCTATTTCTTTCAGCATCAACATCACTTTTAAAAGGGCATAATGTTTATAGTTATACTATTTTTTTTTAAGTTATACTGTCATAAGTGTTACTGTGTTACATGTATTTTAATCACACTTTTTATTTATTATTCAAATTTTAGAACAACGTAACAATCAACCAAACAAAGTTGTATTGTTTAAATATATACGTATACTTAAAATTTATGCTTGTTCTATTCAAAATGTTTAGCAATTTAGCGTTATAATAGGTTCCAAGAGGGAAACAAACAATTTTGCCACTTATTATTTTAGCGAGGAAAGATATATCAGGATACATAAAGTTATTCGATTTATAACCCTAACTATAAGCCATTACTAGCTAATGAAAAACGATTCTTAGCAAATCGTTTCTAAATGATTTGAAAGGCCGTAATATTTATGACTTTCATCAAAATTTAACTTTGAAACCATTGTAAAAAAAAATTGTATATTACATTCCACTTTTTTTTACCATTAAATACAACTTATAGTGAACATCCTGTTCAATTTTCAAGCATTTCTGTTGTGTTAAACAATTATAATATTCAAAATCCACAGTTCACCTATCAAATAAAAATTACGTAAAAAACTCACAAAAATTGAATACCTGTAAATGAGTTGTAAAGAGTTATTCTTTTTTTTTATCTTTTAATTAAACTTTATAGTTATAAACAGTAGCCTGTAACAGTTGTTTTTTTCGTTTGATAAACTATTAAAACTCTAAAAAATGGCATCAAAAACCACTTTTGAAGACCTAAAAATAATTTTAGATGAAGTAAAAAATACTCAAAGTAAAATAACCACTGCTGTTAATAATATTAATAACGATAAAATGAACTAAACAAAAAAATTGATGAATTATTTAAAACTATATCAATTTTAACTGAGGAAAACAAAATTTTAAATGATAAAGTTGATGCATTTGAAAAAAAAAAGTGGTTTATTTAGAAACAAATTCCTCATTGTCTCTAATTTCTAATGAGAATGATTTAGCTGCTGAAGTATTAGATAGGCAACTACGGTCATGCAATTTGATTATGTTTAATTTACCCGAGATTGTAACGGACACTCAAAATACGGATTCTGATTTCGATAGTTTCAATATGTTTTGAATCAATAGGGGCAAATATCTCAAAATTTACTTTCACTCGTCTTGGAAAAACTATCTCAAAAAACCTAGAAAATGCACATCCGTATTTCGTCAGATTGTACCAACATTCAGCGTGAGCAGATGAATAAATTTCGACAAGAACTCTAAAAACGTACGAGATGACGGCGAGAGTAACATTTGTGTTAAATATATAAAAGGTACTCCGAAAATTGTTAATAATCAAAACAAATTATAGGTAACTCGGAGTTTAATCTACATATATACCATCAAAACGTTCGAAGCCTGAGTAACAAAATCTCTCATTTTGATCTCAAGTTCCAAATTCTATATATGATGTATTTATTTTCACTGAAACATGGCCTACGAGTAATTTTGAATAATATAAACTTGGCTTAACTGGATATAATATATTTAGACATGATAGAAATTTCCATACCAGTTCTTTAGATAAAGACGGTGGAGTTCTTATCGCTATCCGAAATACCTATATAACCAATCCAATTATAGTTCGTAATAATCATATTGAACTCATATTCAAAATAATAAAACTGCCACATCGTATTCTTATTATCAGCTCTGTAAATATACATAATCGTTCTTATTTATGTGTCTATACTGAATACTTTAAATATGTGTAAAACTTAATTGATAAGCATACAAATGTTGATTTTTTTATTACTCGGTGATTGTAATATACCTTCGGCTTGTAGTAATGCCTGTACTTATTTTAACGAGACTTTATTTTTTTTAAATCTTTTTCAATTTAACAATATTTGTATTTCAAAAAAAAAAAACCGGACATACTTCGCACATGGGTGCAGCCACTGTTGCAGGTGGAAAGTCAGAAAGGTAGAATACAGACGGAAATTTAAAGTATATCTGTAAGCAACGATAAACCTTAGCTAACGAACAAACGAACCTGAGCGGAGTTCAGTTGATAATGTTGCTTTTTCAACAGTATATAGCTATATAGGTATGTCATATTACGGTGAAATTACAACATACGCATTAAATATTTTATTTAATAATTTACCAATTTTCCCGATTTTCCTATTTATCATTAAAACAGCTCGAAAAATCAAAAAAATACGACCTCTCCAAAGTACCACCCCAGTCAAATTTCCTTTCGGAAAAATTGCTGCACTTGTAATTTGGTGTAAGATTTCCGGTAGAAAAGTTGTTCACAGATTAAAATAATAATAATAATAATAAAATGAACATTATTGTAAAACCGATACATTCCTCGCTCCTCTCAGAATCTAAAAAAATATATAGAAAAGAGTTTATAGGAAAAATAGTTTTAAGTTAACTGTATTCGTATTTGAATACATACGAATGGGTACCTAAACATCATGGTGGAATTATAAGGTTCACGGATCCAATATTATTATTAATTGTCATCAACGCGTATACGGCCAACTCGCCAACTTGCCAATAAATAAAATATACGTGCACGCGTGTTACTCTGGAACCTATACCTCTTTATGTGTTATAACATACACGCGCACTACCGCATTTAAATGATTAAAAAACACATTAATTAAAATTTTCGATAATAAGAAAAAAAAACCTAATTTTGTAATTATTATAATATTATTATGAAGTCCGTCAGTAAACCTACATACTAAATATTGTAAAATTATATAATAATATTATACCACGGTTTGAATATTTATTGCCCACGTTCGTGGATCACGCGAGGCGCGTGAACTCACAGATAAAATATTATAAAAATATATTTTTCATATAATATATTAATATGTACCTATAATATATAGGTACTTTTAAAGCCTATACAGGAAGCGTGCTCGCACGGTAAAATCCCGCCCGAGGCAAAACGGAAAAACATTTTATTCTAGAGAAATATTTTATTTTTGTGATATAAAAGTAAACACAGTTGACAATCCCAGAGGGGTCAACGGTCCCTTTCGCTCCTCGCTGCGGACGCAGCCCTTGCTGTATAGGCAGCCGTATAAAGACATCGGGATATCGTGCGTTCACTATTGCATAGTTTAGTAATTATTATTTCAGTATTCATAACTATTTAGCACTCAGCAAAAATTTAAATAACATAATATAATCAATAATTATTAATTCACTTTTAACAAATTAGTTAAATATATTATCATAACGGTATAGTTGCCCGAGTTGGTAATCTGTTATCATTTCAACAACAAACAATAATTATTTCGTATTGTCGATCGCCATCATCCTCTGTACAAATTTAAAACCCATAATTACTTGTATAAACATATTAATTATATCCGAATGTATTTCATTTATTTAACCACGTGCCTATCATTTTGATATTCTGGAGAGCAGCCGCGATCGCAATCGGTTTTTGTATCGTCGTCAGCAAACATTTCCAGAAGTTCTGTAAAATTAGCTGTATTAGTTGAACTTTGAAACTCGTTATGACCCCAGAAGGATATGCCTTGTTTAGTTAAAAATAGAATAGCCTTAAAAAAAAAAAAAAATATGATTACGGTTCTCTTCAACATATTTTAATCTACCGGTTACTATATAGTTATTTACTGAATTAGACATGTTATTTTTTAATATACACAGATGGTATTGATTAATTACCTATACAGATGTACCAAATATAAATTGATTAGTGAGAAAACTGAAAATTAAAAATAAAAACTAAAAATTCAATTCTGAAAACTAATTATTTATGTTTGTAACTATATGAAATTTAAAAATCATAAAATTTAAATACTTCAAGAAATTAAATTAAATTATGCATTCAAAATTGAACATTTGTTATTTTGCTATTTCTTTAAAAATTAATGGGCAGTAATTGTAATAAAAGTGGTATTATTTCTCCTTCACTATATAATGCATACGCGGCAGAACAACTTACCTCTCCAACAACGTTAGTAGTTGAATTTGCGGACAATAAGGCAATTATATCAGAACATCAAGACCCATTCACTGCCTCCATAAATTTCCAAAATCACCCTGACCTAATGTCGGTCTGGTATAATAGACGACGAATCAAAGTCAACCAAACAAAATATCCACTCATATTACCTTTAATCTTCGTCTTCCTCCCTGCCTAGAAGACTTCCTCGGTAACATCCCTATCCCTTTGTCCCAATCAATTAAGTATTTAGGTCTAAACATTGATCGCCGTCTGAATTGGGCATTTCATATCAGAACAAAAAAAATAGCTCTAAACGAACGTCTTCGACCAATTAAAACACTAATAACTAACAAACATATTAAACTAAGCACCAAACTTCTCATGTATAAATCTTTAGTTAGGCTTATGTGGAGCCTCCAACTATGGAGCAATGCAAAAAAAAATCCAATGTGAATAAAATTCGAAACGTACAAAACAAAATATTACGCTTGACCACTAATGTCCCACCTTATGTCTCTAACTATACTTTACACACAGACTTAATGATTAAAACAGCTCATGCTGAAGCAATAACGCTCTACAAACGTTTTCATAATAGATTTCCTTTCCACTTCAATCCCCTTATATCAGATCTAGGTACTCGAACAATTCCGGGTAATCCCCCACGGCATTTAAAAAGATATTGGTGTCGCGATTACTAATCGCATAAATATTAAAAAAAGAAAAAAAGACAAATACGTAGTGCTTTCACTGGTTGGCTTCTTCTCTCACGTCTTCATGTTACAAATCTTTCTCATCACATATTCTTATTGTGCCCAAGGGCACAGATTGTATATTTCTTGTTTAAATAAAAAAATAAAACATTATATATTTTACCTTACGAAAGAAAAAAAAAACCATAAAATGTTTGTACAAAACTTAAAATGATGGACGAAAAGCTCTATTTCAATTAGTATTTTTACATAGTTTTTTTTTAGGCAAAGATCTTATAACAAGGATGTTACCCTACGTCAAAAAAACAGAGGCGTTGTTGTAATTAAAAACTGTTTTAATAATTTTACCATAATATTATATAATACCATATAATGTATTGTCGAGAAAGCCACATTATCAACTGAACTCGGCTCAGAATCGTTTTTTCATTAGCAATGGTTATTCTTTGCGTACAGATATACATTAAATTTCCGTAAAATAAATTAATACTATCATTATTATTATTGCAGCTTAAAAACCGCCACAATGTTTTAAAAATATGATTGCGTCTAAAAAAGTCGAATTTAAAATATTTATAAAAATTCATATCTCTATGAATATTTTTAACTGAATTACAAATACAAAAAAAAAAAATTCAAAATAATTATGCCATTATTTTCGTAAACCTTCCGGTTTTGCTCAATATTATTAGAAAAACTACACTGAAAATCAAAAAAACGATTTCCTATCGTTTCAGCGAGATCTCAAATTTAAACAAAAATGTTTCTAGCTATTTTTTGTTTACAAACAGATGAAAAAAAAAAAACGGCCATAGTAAAACTAATAGATCCCCCAATCATCTTCAAATTTAAAATTGTATGATTTCGTCATCTGTAACCGTCGTGCACACGTATGGACGTACAACTTAGTAAATTTGTTTGCAACAGGGACAATTTTGTGATGTTTGTTTTAATATTGAATTGTATTGATTTATTATCAAACCAAAAGATAATAAAATAAAAAAATACAATTTTACCTAGTAGTATTTGTGGCGTGTATACTTTATTTTATTATATCTCATATTAAATGTTTTTATTAAGATGTTACTGTGTGACAATGTGATATCCATATTTAGTCAAGGACCAACTTCGTAATGACTACGATATTGAAATCGGTACAAAACCGATTTCTTTCGTATACTGCTTTTATTCTTAATATTGTACATCCGCCTCATGATTACTTTTCAATTAGCTCATTTCTAAATGTTCCTATTCTTTCCGTACGTCATTTTAATGTGAACATTAATTTTATCTCATCTTTGCTAAATGGCTCAATCGATACTTCTGATCTTCAATGTCTTTCATCTCTTTTCGTGTCCCTGTCTATTTAAAAGATACCACTCATTGTTCCACGTCCTTTCTAACAACTGTACGAATTTTAACCACAACCACTCGATTCATAAAATGCTACGTTTCCATAAGTCCTTTTAATCTCTACCTCAGTTTTATTCGGCGCATTCGCTCTATCACTTTACATGTAAAATAATGTTTCTCTTTTTTTCTGTTAAATGTTTTTATTTTATTTTAGTTATTGCTGTTTTCATTATATTGTTGTTATTACTGATTTGTCAATCGTATTGTATCATGTATCTGCCGGACTCACGTCAATTGATTAAATAAATACATAGATATTATAAGTTGCGAAACAACGTCGTTTTGGTTGATATTTAAATTTTTAAACGGAATAATAATATAAGCATTTTTAAATTAAGATATTTCACATATTCATGTCTCGCTTAAAAATTAAAATATAAAAAAGAAGCAAAGACATATGCAATTAATTAGATTACCAACTGATGATTGGAAGTGAACTTTCAATTCACCATTTTATTTGAGGTACAAGGGCCTTTTCCATTGTGACACGTGATAACTATTATATGTGATATTATTAACAATCACGGTCTTGGTCACCGTGGTAACAAAAGTAAAAGTACAGATTCGACAATTTGTATAATACAAAGTATAAAAGTATATGATAACGCCAGCGGGCTTCAAATTCAATTGCTGCCGTACGTTTCATGCAATTACGGAGAGTATACATGATTTAACTAGACTATTTGACATTTTTACATTGTAGTTATACGTGTAAAAATGTCAAATAGTCCTGTTATACCCAGTATAGCAGTTATAGCTATCTAATGTCCGTTATCTATATTTGTGGCACAGACAACGTTTTTATATTTAATTTTGATAGTATGTGAATCCAATTAAATATTAAAACCAACAACTGTAACGTAAAGTTGTTTCGATTAGATGCAAATTTGTTACGTTCTTGATGTTTGTATGTATCGCGAATACAAGTGACGACAAATGCGTGTGTTACGTCCTCTTAATAGTTAAGTAGGTACTCATACTCATATGAAAACTCATATCATATTATAAGTCAACAAAAAAAAAAATACCAAAATTAAAATGGCAGCACTGAGCACCCATTGGTGTTAAAACAGAAATTGAAATTTAAAAATTCATCTGAGATGTCACGGATTATCTACCTACGTACGAAATTTTAGATCTCGGCACGTGCTACTTATATAGATTAGTCCAAAATCGGTGTCGTTTGCTGTCAGTTTTTAAATTAGTTGGGAAAAACTCTCGGGGATCTAGAAAAATGTTTTAAAGAAAGTACCTACCACCGGTTGAAAAATCCGCGTCTCTTAAGCCTCTAAGGTATATACTGCAACGTGAAAGTTTTACTAAAGATACTAGAGTTTTACTAGAGGATTTCACTAACCGAAAAAGATATATCCCGAGAAAATTAATCTGCATCTTAGTAAAACTAATGGCTTTTTTACTCTATACGGAATTAAAAAAAAAAAAAAAAAAAAACCATACTAAACCTAACCGAATAACGAATAACGAAAATATGAATTCAAGCCGACTAAAATATTGTTATTCGCAGCGTATTTGAGGCAATAACCGTTCTCGGTTGTAGACGACACGTATATGTGTCAGTGAGAAAATAGGTATTTATGATAAATGGTATCTGAGATTTGAATTTTATTATATAATTAGATATTGACGCACATTTTCTAGTTGTAAATGAACTTCAGTTATCGGCTAATAGATTTTTGTACACCGGAAATGATTCATTTGATACACCGATGTTAATGGTATATATTTAAAATAAACTAAACCATCTGTACTCAAATCGTCTAGTAATATCATCAGTGTCTATTATTCCTCCGTTATGTACTCGTATTTTAAAAATGGAACGTGAATGGTTTAAAACTTTAATAATATCAAATTGTATTCCATCTAGAATTTCAATAACCATAATGAAATATGCAAAATAATGCGATAGTAACGAAAAATATGAAATATCTTTAAAAATATATAATAATATTATTGTTTATTTCTTCGAAAAGTGGATGGGCCCCAATGAACAGGTTCGTACAAACAAAAAGAGAGAAATAAAATGGGATTGTTCTAGTTGTCAGAAAAACAATAAGACAAGTTCACTACAAAGGAGTTGCCAACATTCTAAACTATAAATTGTATATCCCCCTATAATGTGACCAACAATTCTCAAAAAAAAAATTGGCTCGTACCATAGTTTAACTCTCGTCGTTTTACACGGCCTTGTAATAAATATATTTTATGTACACACTTATCCAGTATCAATTTTGAAGTTATAGCCGTCGTTTGTAATTACTTTTTGTTTTATTGTTAAAAAATATATTCTATAATATTTATTATTCGTGTTCTGTTTATGTTTATCTTAACTAAAAGAGCAAAGCAATAATACAATACAATGAAGCCGAACATTTTGAATTAAAATGTGCATAAATGAACAAAAATATACTACCATGGATATACATCATTATTTAATTTGTTTTGAAAAAAATGAGATTATAAAATAAAAAATGTTTGTTTAGTAAAATATAAAATTAATAAATCGTACTATAGGTTACGTAATTATTAGAAGACAAAAAAAGAGCTTATTCTGAAGACGGATGCAGCCACTGTTGTAGGTGGGTAGTTGGGAAGTCAAGATATATAAGGTTATTTCATTTATATCTACAAGCAACGTTAATCCATTGCTTGACGATTCCGAGCGCAGTTGGGTAATACATAATTTGAAGTGCCGTATTTTTTTTTTACGATTTTCGTTTAAATTTTATTTTAAAACGCTTATTAAAAAAAAAGAAGTCGTCTGATGATTATGGACATTTTACCACTTCTAGGTAAGTCCAATTTAGGTATTATTACCAAGTTTAAAGTCTCTACGTGTATTTATAACCGAATTACAGCACAAAAACTCTCAAAAATTAAAATTCCTTAAAGTTCAAAAGTGGCTCAAAAGTTTTGGCAATGATACTGCAAGAAAGTAAATCAAAAACGCAACAAAAGAGATATGTTGTGATTTTTCGATTAAATAATTTTTTCTGGTAGAAAAGGTCGTCCGTGTTTTTATAAAATAATGAAATCATGAAATTGTACGTTTTCCTACGTTTTTTCCCACTTAAGTGTTTTTATTTAAAAAATGGCGTTGAAAATTCAAAAATGAC